ACACACACAGGGAAAGCAGTTGAACTGTCTACCACACGGCTGCTGCTCACTGAAGGCCAGTTTTCTCTCCTGCCCCTTTCTTTTACTCTGGCAGAGCAGGAATGATCTTGTCCCCCATGTGCCAGCAAGGGCCTGACATTCTGGCAGAGATTTCCCAGGTGACTGTCCCAATGTAGGCTGATGGACTGTGAGGTGACTACAGTCCGCATCACCACTGTGAACTTATTAGGCAGTGCTATTACCCTCTGTAGGATGTTGTTTCATGTCCTTACAATATTTAGTGTACTCTAAGTACCACTGCGTAAGACTTAGGATTCCGATTCAGAATTAAGCTTCCTTAAGTAAGAAGAGAAGAGCCAGCCACTGTGACTGGTGGTAAGGGCTCTGTACCGTGGATTTCAAACCGCTCAGCAAAACTTTTAGTATACTTTCATATCCTGCTCTCACATTTTGGGAAACCAGGGTTCGGCGAAGTTCACAGATTCACAAAGGGTAAGAGGCTGAGTTGAAATCTGGACTTGGGTCTGTCTACCCCCAAACCCATGCTCTTCCTGCCATTCCAACCAAGTTCTCTTGGCGGCCAGGGATTTAGCTCAGTGGTTCCAGTGCCTGCCTCGCAAACCCAAGGACCAGAGTTCAATCCCCAGTACCCCCAAAAAACCAACCAAACAACAACAAAACCAAAAATGGCCAACCAAGTTCTCTGGAGAGAGCGGTGTCTGGGCTTTAGGCTGTTCAGACAGTCTTCACTTCCAGTATAGCTTGTTGGCTCCTCCCCATTAGCACTGCAGCCTCTCTGCTTCCTAACTGGTCCATCCTTTCTCCCCGTGAGCCACAGCCATTCAGCAGCATGACCTAACTCAGAAGACACTAAGCAGATGTCGTGACCCCACTTCAAGGCCCTCAGTGGCCTGGCCCAGCTCTGCAGACCTGCACAGGAGCACACTAGCATGTGGGGGTTCTGAACACTGGGCAGTGAGGAAAATCTGTGTTTCAGAGAGATGAGTGGGAATGGGCAACTAGGATGGGTTTCTGGGGAGAGAAGAACATGTGCCAGGATGGCATATGGGAGACCATTCCTGAAGCCCAGGTTATACACTTCTGACCAGGCAATTGCTAGGATTAGAAACAACAAATTCGAGGCCCTTCTTGGCTTGCACAGCCATTTCCAAAGCATCTGTGTACCCATCGGAAGCAATCTTTTACGACTGCAATGACCTCTCTCTGCCTTCTCATGTTCAAGACTGTGAGCATCTCAAAGGCAATGTGTGCATCTCCTCGTTTTCCTGAGTGCTTGTTATCCATAGGGGAACCACAGTAAGTGCTATATGTGTAGAATGTGCTAAGGAAGGAAAAGGAAAAGGGGACATCTGGGTTTTGAGCCCAGTAACTAGATTAGGAAGGTGCCATAGGGCAAATAATGATGCTGGAGGAAAGAACATAACAAAACAAAACAAAAAACTTATACATAAGATGAGCTCAGATTGGGAATGCTCTGACTTTGAGACAAGGTGATGAAAAAAGGGTGAAAGGAGTTACTTCTTGGTAGATGCCACTTACATGTGGGACCTGTACTTTCCCTGGTATGGAAGGGCTGAGCGAATGGGTTCTGAGAAGTTTCCCGAGTTGTTATTTATGTTGCTTAAGAATCATTTAATGATTCTGGAATGCGCTGTGCATTTTAGCACAGTTTCTTCTGGCTTAACTGATCTTTGCAGAAAGCAGGCACGCCACAACTCCATTTTAATTACGAGGGCATGGACCGTAGAGGCGAGAAGCACCAGCTGTGGTGCCCAACTCCTCAGATCACTTCTGGGCTCCACCAAAACCACCTGTGTGACAGACAGTGTCTCACTCTGTGCCTCTAAGGCCCTACAAAGCCACGATAAGAACTGAGTGAAGGAACTCGCATATCAAAATCTCCCAATGAATGTTGTTGCTATTATTCTCTAAACACTTGGCAAGTAGATAGTTTAGTTATTCCAGAATAAAATTAGAAGCTGCAATTCTATAAGGACAAATTTCAAATTCGTAAAATAAATGAAGTACTGGGGATCGAACTCAGGACCTTGTGCTTGTGAGGCAAGCGGTGGAACCACTGAGCTAAATCCCTGGCCCATGAACTTGAAATAGTTATAATTAATTTAATTTAGCAGCGGCCAGGTGATATTAAAGCAGGCTTTCACACAGTGTAAAACCACCAACAGACCGCAAGTAACAAACTGACAATGGGTGTTCTTTGACTTAACTGTAAGAACTCATGTACTCTTATTTCGGAAAATCTAATCTGAAGCTATCTGAATCATCTTTACTTTTTAAAAATCTGGCGGCACAGAATCACTCAGCTTTCCCTTGAAAAATGTCATGCACGCTTCCCCTCCCAGACCACCTCTGTCCTTGTTAGCTTCTCTGCCTGGATCCCCATCAGTCCACCAGGTTTGCTCCTTGGCACCTTCCTGGCTCCCCAGAATACCTCCTGCTTATTGGGGATTGGCTCATCTCTCATGATGCACTTGCCCCTTTCCCAAGGAGGAAAGCGTCTCTAGCGGGACTCTCCCTAAGGTGTCAGAGCCAGGCCAAGTGTCACACGGGTAGCAGGATCCACACCTTCTAATTCTTTGTGTCCCCGGGCCACACCAAACTGTCACTAAACCCAACTATTGAAATGTTGTCTCTAGACAAGGATTATTCATACTGCTATTGTAATCTCAGTTTCCATTAATGCCCCTAATCAATAATACTTATGCAATTTCTGCGAATTGCATCATTTTTTTTTTTACTCTAGTTTGAGAGAAAATCACCTTTAAATATATTACATTCAACTTTTCAATACTGCAGAAAGAAATTCAAGACTTTGGCATCAAGCCTTGCAAACACATCCAGGCTTCTAACAAACCCAGGTTTTCAAACCCTGTGGATTTTGGACTGGCAGTCCCCATGATAATATAAATCAGTTCCTTAAAATAAGTCTCCCCTCTCTTCAAAAGGACACACACACATGGACACACACAGACACCCAGACACACACACACACACTTTTTTGTTGTTGTTTCTCTGGAAAATCTTGGACAAAGCAGAAGTAAAGAGAACTGCTGGGCCTTCCAAATAGGCTCGCTTCATCTTCAGAACCCTAGTACTGGGCTTTCCATCTTTAACAAACTCCAGAGACCAACAGTGATATCTCACAGAAAGGACTCAGATACCCATTTACATCTGGGAGAAAAGGCCTACCCTGTCCCCTAAATAAAAACGAACCTTTCCAGTCACCCTCTCTGTGTGGTCTTAGATACTTCACTTCACGTCCCTTGGCTGCACTATCCCTAGTAGGAAAAAACAGGGTGCGAGGCAAGAGAGTTTTTACCAAATAATTAATATTCCTCTATTTGCTCTTATTTCATTCTGAGAAAAACCGGATAGCTAAGTTAATAGGTAAGAGGATTTTAAAGTTGGAAGTATAATCTTCAAATTCAGTTCAACATTTATGCAAGTGAACTGGTTTCAATAAAAGCCTTGACTAGTACTGACACAAAATTAACAACAGGGCTTTGAGGTACATAATAATTTACCAGAAAATGTGTCCAAAGCATTTTAGAGTTGAAATAGCAGGTTATTTCACTTAGTCCTATTAACTTATCAGAGTGTTTGGTCAGAGAAGGCCACATACAGACTAGCTTAAAAGCCAGTTGTTTTGTTTGTTTTCCTTTTACTTGGAATTTAGTATTGTGGTTTAAAAAGATAATTTTAGATCTTCAGATGACTGAGCTGATTTTGAAATGTGGTCTCAGATTGTCCAGGCTCCTCTTATTCTTGGGGGTTAATTTAGTAGAAGGCTGGGTGGCACTGGCACTAAGACTTAATTTCTCATCATGCGAGGAAGACTAATAATAACCATTCTGGATACTTTGTATCTGCTTCAGGCAACGACTTCCTTATCCAGGGAATCTACAGTCAGGCCTTCACATGCAGGAAACATCTCTCTTTAGAAGCAAAAGTTTCAGCCAGGCGTGGTGGTGCACACCTGTAATCCTAGCACTCTGGAGGCTGAGGCAGGAGGATCACAAGTTCGAGGCCAGCCTCGGCTACATGGTGAGTTCAAGCTCACCCTCCTGAGTGTTAGGATCACAGATGTGCACCACCACGCCCGATTTCAATTATGTTATTGAATCATGAAGGAATGCTCAGTAGTTAAATTTAGATTAGGAATCAGGAAGTACAGTTCAAAGGAAAAGCAATTTATCTTCTTATACAAATAAGACACAAAAATGATAGGGGTAGGACATTTCTTACAGGGATGATGAAAATATTTTGAAGTTAAATGATAGAGCCAAGTGCGGTGGTGCATGCCTGTAATCCCAGCACTCAGGAGGCTGAAGCAGGAGGGTCAGTGAGAGTTCAAGACCAGACTGAACTACATGGCTCAAAAAACTCTGCCTTAAAAAACCAAAATAAGGAAATAAAGTTAAATGATGATGACATCTGCACATAATTCTGTGAATGTACTAAAGGACTAAGTAGATTTTAAATGGGTAAATTTAATGATATGTGAATTGTATATTAATAAAGGTGTTTTAAAATAGGACACACAGATTTGATTGTTCTGCCTAAGAAACGAATGAAGGAAACAAATACTAATATTTCATTTGTCTGTATTCATTCTAAATGTCAACATGCTCGATCCTGTTGGCTAAAATATAAAAATAACAAAAGTACAAAAAAAATTGCAGGAGACACACACACACACACACACACAAACAAAATAATAAAATAAAATAACAGAAGTAAGCGCAAAGTGTGTGCAAGTTTTATAAGAAAAACCAGGTGACGTTGCACACTTTCCACAGGCGTTGGTCATGGCCTCCTTCAGATGAGGCTCACGGGACACAAACAGGCTGAAAATTAATGACAGAAAAGCCGCAAGCTACTCTTTGGAAATCCAATCAAAATTCAGAGCAGGGGTTACAGACACGTTTAGGAAATCCCTCCTAACAGAAACTACTTACCTCGTGACAAGGAACCAGGCGATGCGGCTGAAGTCTGGGGAGGGCCTCGTGTAAGTCTTGATGTGTGGCATGGCATTGCTGCGGCCCGACGTCTCGGCCAACCACTTGCTAGTGACAGGAGGGACAGAAGTCGCTGGTTAGAAAATAATACGAATTAGTCACAGCCCTAATCATCAGGAAATTACATGACAAGCAAAATCCTATCATCTAAAGACCAGTTCGGCTAGGCATGGCGGTGAATGCCTGGAACTGAGCCCTCTGGGAGGCCGAGGCAGGAAGAAGAGTGAAGGTTAAAGCCCATCCTGGGCAAGTCAGAGACTCAGGGAGACTATCTCGGAATAATAAAGTCTGGACTGGGGATGCAGCTCAGTGGGAAGGTTTTGGGTTCAATTACCAGTGAGAGAAAAATAAAATAACCTACAAAAAATAGTAGGTACATGGTAGTTTATTAAACTCTGTTTAGATAACAGAATAACGTGCTCATTTTGGAAGGTTAGTATGTAGAAAATTTGCCACTACCCACAAATAGTACTTAACCCTCTGGTCTTTTTCCTCATAAATACACACATGCACATCTGTATTTTCGTCTTGCTTTTATCCCCATGTGTGCACGTGCCTAGTGCAGGAACAAGTCATGGCCCCACAGTGCACTAATATTAGCACAGGCTCCAAAAAATCTTGATGAATGAAACAAATACAAAGAGGACAAAATCACACCTGAGTACGGAAAAGCAAAGGGATAATGGAGGAGTGCTTTAGTTTTAGCTTTGAGTTTTATTTAATTTTTTTTCCTTTTCTTTTGTTTGGCTTTGAGTTTCATTTGTAAGTTTCCAACAATGCAGGCTTAAGGTTCTATGGATGTAAAAGGGGATAAAGCAATGATTCTTAACTATGATTTTATAATATTCAGATAGATCTTTTGCAAATGACCAAGAGATCAAGGAAGTGTGCAAGGAGATGTAAAAAAGAATTAAGACATGTTGTGTATCGTACCAACTCCCCACGACGAACGTAATCATTAGGTACTGTAAGCATGTACAAATTCAAATTTTTAAATTAATTATTGCCATAGTAAGGATTGAACCCAGGGCCTCACATGTGCTAGTTAAGTGCTCTACCACTGAGCTATGTACCCAGCACTTTACTTATGAACTGAAGAGCGTGGTCCTTCACAACAACTTCTGGTTTGGAGAAACAGAACCAGGATTAGGTGGGTCTGCCACTTGCTTTATTCAAGTGAATTTAGCTGTGCGCTACTGCAGGCTGCTTAACATAAGGAAACAAACGGTCTCCCCAGACTAGGGAAAGGCTCCAGCCTGACATAGTTACTTAAGTGCAACCCTGCCTTTGGCTCTTGTTGCCCCGCAGAACAGGTACCTGGGAAGGAGGCATGAGACTGGTCTATTCCTTCACCTCTCCCCTTCATTAGTCATTTACCGGAGTCTGAAGACCTATGAAATGCTGTCCTGTATCCTGGGGACAGCGGCGTGGGCTGTCTTCAGCAAGTTTAGAGCCACACATCTTATCATCACATAGAATAGTAACATTCCATGTTTTAGAAAAGTGAACTAAAATGGTACTTGTGAAAATTAGAAACCATCCAACATGATCTTTTATTTATCTTTTTCTTTGCACGTCAATATTTAAATAGAAACCTTATGGCGATAAATTTTACTCTCTGGTACTAAAAATCCATTCCCCCCCAAAATTGAAAACCTCGTTTTAAATTATTTATATCACTAACATATGTAGATGAAAGGATAGAAGTGTATTATATAATGTTCTTAAAAAAAAAAAGACTGACATAAATAAATAACATTCTTCCTTCTAAAGATGTAAGACCAGCGTTCCAAACCGATTACTTACTGAAAGTAGGAATGTAGCCAGTTCTGTTTCTCAGCTGTCTGGATGCTATAGGGAAGAGAGCCCCCGGCTTTTGAAAGAAAAATAAAACAAATAAATAAAAATAGTGAAGCATAATTTGAAGCTTTCTCGTTAAGAAGAAAATTTATCGTAAACAGTGAGAAGGTGAATGAAAAGCAACTGTTCCCTTTATTTCATTATCATGGAGTAGTTACTTGAAAGAAAGTGTCTATACTTGTGTTAGGTACATTTTCTTTATGGAGTTTTCTTTCTTAGGGATAAGAAACCTCTAAATAGTAAATGTTTACTATCTGGAAATCACTCAGTGGTCATAATTTAACATCTACACAGATTTGAAGTGTTCAAAAAGACCACAGAAAGCTTCCTGGTCTGTCCTACCCACCATCCTCCGGCAGGTAGGATAGTTGGTATTCTGAGATTTAAGAGAATCAAGATACAGTTCCAAGTGGAAACACAATTAGAAGCCAATTTTTGTTCATCTTTGAAAGGAAGAAGACTACTTGTGGATTCATCAATAACTTTCCAAACACACACTGGAACTTCTCCACAGTGATCTATATTCAAAGAGGGCTTTAAGCAACTCTGACATAGAAGAGGGCATGCCCCGACTCCTACTGCAAATAACAAAACATGCTCCATTTAGAACCAGTTATAAAATAGCTTTATTGAAAAGACCAGGCACTTCTTCATTAAAAGTACACTTTGAATGAATCTAGCATATTAGAGATACAGAAAAATGGTAAAAGAAAAATCATCATGTCCTGGAGTCACAGTGAAATAATTTTCGTGTTGCCATTAAAAAGGAGCAAATGGCCTGAGACACTCTGAATTTTGAGATTTTTTTTTCCTGGCCAGGTCACATCTAGTTTGATAAACAATAAGTGGGCTAAATTAGTCTTAATTCAGTGCACTCTCCTCTCAGCCATCAGTGAATACCAATTAGACTTTGCTTTTTCCAGAGGCAGATGTTCCCTGGGTTTTTTGCCTTATACTTCCTGACTGCACTATAAATGGTGTTGTGAATTCCACATAAAAGTTTAGCTCTAAGTACTGGGATAATGGAAATGGAGAAAAGAGCTGATCAATGTTTATAAAATACTACTACAGTATTTGTAGAAAAGCCCTTGAAAGAGTGTATCCATCAACTAAGTTGTACCAAAGGTAGTATTAAGCATAAACTCCCAAACTTAAATACACCTACATCAGCTATTCAAATTTCAAGTATTAAAGGTGTGGTGAACATGCTCTGGGAAGGCTCCAAATCCTAGGGGAAGATGATTTTATTTGGACATCTTGTCTGGACAAGTGACCCATTGGATATCTTACTGGTAAAAATGAGAATAATTGTGCACAAGGTTACTGTGAAGACTGAATGTCACACTCTGGTCGCCTAATCAAGTGGTACCATCTTCAGAACACAGCAGAACTCAACATTGCCTATTTTTATGTTCCCTGTCCAACGAAGAGAAAGCCATCTCCACATTTCTAACTAAATGGTTTCTCGCTAAATTTTAATACTGGTAAAAATTCTAATAGAGAATTTATGGACTCAACACCAAAACCACAAGTGAGACTATTTTCCCAACAATTTACCAGGATAGCCTTCTAAGCTGGTCCGTACATTTTCCACAGAAGGGTAGATCTAAAAATAAGTAAGAAAAGAGAAAAACAATAAAACTTGTGATATACCATGTTGAAAAAAAGGAATGATGGCCTGCTTTTATAAAAATATAAATCTTAGAAATAAACTAACCTTTTAAATTGCTCCATTATTTTTGCCTTTTTCACGATGTCATACAGTTGAATTCACACAGATTGGCTTATTTTATTTAGTAACATGTACTTAGGGATACTCTGACTTTTTATTGCTAGATAGATCATTTATCATTAACATCCCATTGGATGGATATATTGTGTTTTATTTGCTCATTCATCTATTGTAAGACATCTTCATTATTTCTGTCTTTGATTATAAATATTTATACGAAAAAATACTTAGTTAAAAAACTTAGAAAATATGCTTTAAAATGTCCCCATATTATGGAAAAAAATTGAACTTCTAGTAATGAAACTACAGTGCTCATTATATATTTAACAAAATATTACACTGATTTGAATATTCTTCCTTTGAAACATCAAATTAACATCAAAATGAATGTAAAATTAACCATTAATTTGCAGGTCTCTAAGTAATTAATAGTGCTTATAATTCTGCTGGCAACTTCACACCAAATATTTTTTCCTTTGGCTTCACAGCCTGAAAAAAAGAATGGAAAAATACTGGGCTAGTCGTGGCTGAAATGCAGCTCCTAATTAAACCAGCAAACTCCCCACACTGAGCCACATTAAGGCTAAGCAATCACAAACAATGGTAATAACATACTGTTCTTTTCATCAAAAAAAAAAAAAA